CGTTGAAAAAAAAAATTTTTTTTTAAAAAAAAGAATTCTTGGCTGCATATTTTTCCAATTCAGCACATTGAATATATCCTGCCATTCCTCTCTGGCCTGCCTAGTTTTTGTGGATAGGTCTGCTGCAAACCTGATCTGTCTTCCCTTGTAAGTTAAGGACTTTTTTTTCCCTTGCTGCTTTCATGATTCTTTCCTTGTCTGAGTATTTTGTGAATTTGATTATGATATGCCTTGTTGATGGTTAGTTTTTTGTTGAATCTAATGGGAGCCCTTTGTGTTTCCTGGATTTTGATGTCTGTGTCTTTCCCCAGTTTAGGAAAGTTTTCCTCTATGATTTGCTCACATAAACCTTGTACCTAATTCTCTAATTCTTAAATTTTGCTTTTTTGCCTTAGTCTCCCTCTTTTTTCTGCTTCATTGTTCTCCATAAGTTTGTCCTCTATATCACTGATTCTCTGCTCTACTTCATCCATCCTTGCCACCGTGGCAACCATTCAAGATTGCAGCTCAGTTATAGCATTTTTTGTTTCATCCTGACTAGCTTTTACTGCTGTTATCTCTGCAGAAAGGGATTCTAATCTGTTTTCAACCCCAGCTAGTATTCTTATTATCGTGATTCTAAATTCTGGTTCAGACATCTTGCTGGTATCTTTGTTGATTAAGTCCCTGGTTGTCATTTCTTCCTATTCTTTCTTTTGGGGTAAATTCCTTCATTTCATCATTTTGAAGGAAGAAAAGGAATCAGTAAAAAAAATTTTTTTAAGTAAAAACAACACAAAAAAATCAAATAATGCTAGATCCTAAGTGTATTTTGGTCTGGTTGTTTAAAGGAGCTTGGTAGATTCAAGAAAAAAGGAAAAGAAAAGAAAAAGGAAAAAAGAAAACAAAAGGAAAACGTTTGAAAATTAGATATAATGAATACAGTGAAATAGAATAAAATGAAATGATGGAAGTAAAATAGAATTTAAAAAATTTTAAAAAACGTAGTAGGAAAAAGTTAAAAATCTTTTTAATAAAAATGGAAAACAAAAATGTTTTGTCTTTATTCAAAAATAAAAAAAATTGAATAGATGGATCAGTGAACAGACTGAAATATGATTGAAATTACATCCGTTTCCCCTAAAAGTCAAACAATGAAGTTTGTAGTGCATAAACTAAGCAGGCGGAGAGATTCTTGTTGTTCCTCAAATGTGCGGTTGCCTTTTGAGCAGGGCTTAGTGTAACAGCTCCATTCTCCACTAGGTAGCACTGCTTCACTTACTGGGGAGGATTGTTTTGGCGCACGTAGGCATGTATGCGCATGTGCGGGTGAGATGAAAATGGCATAACCCAGCTACCCGGTCTCACCCTGTCTCTAGTATCAGAACTCTGTGTTCTTCCCGACTGGCATTCAAGCCTCATTTGTCTCCAACTTCTGTCCACTCCCCGCTTTTATACTGTTCTTGACCAAGCCATCAGGCTGCCAAGCAGCACCTCCTCCTGAGTTTTATCTCAGATGGTGGCTGTGTTTCCCATCCCCTCACTTCTGAGGGACTTTGGCTTTGACCTGTTCCTGACCCTCTGGGGGAGGGTCTCACCAAGCAGTGGCCGGGTGCCCACCTGCCCCAGAAAAAGTTCACGTGATTGTGTAGCAGCGTTTCAGTGATTATGGAAAATCACAACGCACATCTGGCACCAGGCTTCCCCCTTATCATCCTTGTTCCAGTGAATGTGGTTCTTCAGGGTCCGGTGGCACCTTTGCCTGTGTGGGGGCCACACAGCCTCTACCAAATGTCCTCCCAGCAGGGGAACCACCTCTCCTTCTGTGGCCCGTGGCATCCTCAGGCCACACACTCTGCCCCTGGGGATTCGCCCTTCCCACCACAGCACCGCCAGGTATTGAGCTGTGGAGCCTCAGACTCTGCGCTCCCCCTTTTTAGAGCCTCAATGGAATTTAAACCCTCTCCTTTCTCCCCTTTTTTGTTCAGTCCCTTGTGTACTCTTCCTCTTCTCTCCACAAGCAAAAACAGCTCCCTGCCCTCTGCGGCTTCTCTCTCCCCCAGCTCACCTCTCTGCACCATGTACCTGCTGAGTTTTGTGGTTCAGGTTGTGTGTATCGTTTTGTTAACCCTCAAATCGGTTTTCTACATGTGCAAGATGTTTAGTGTTAATCTGGCTGCATTTCAGGGACAAGAGACACAAAAAAAACTTTCCTTGCTGTTCCGTCATCTTGGCCCCTCCCTCAGTATGAGGTTTTAACAGATTTTGTCAGCCATGTGGTATCTTTCAAATAATTTGTTTTCCTATGAGATTAATTTATTTATAAATTATTTGTAAGGCCTGGTTTTATGCCAGGTCTTGTACAAAGGTCCTGGGGCCATAGGGGTATATAACACACCTTGCTTTCAAGGAGCTGGGAGGTGGGAAAGATAGGTGTTTGTCACCTGTTGCTGTACAACCACCCCAAAACTTAGTACCTAAAACATTTTTTATTTAAAAAAATTTTTTTTAACATTTACTCATTTTTGAGAGGGAGAGACAGAGCATGAGCAGGGGAATGGCAGAGAGAGAGGGAAACACAGAATACAAAGCAGGCTCCAGGCTCTGAGCTGTCAGCACAGAGCCTGACGTGGGGCTGGAACTCATGAACCATGAGATCATGACCTGAGCTGAAGTCGGATGCGTAACCGACTGAGCCATGCACGTGCCCCAAAAGTCATTTTTTTTCTCGGAATTCTTTGCATTGACTGGGCTCAGGTTGGGAATTCTGTTGCTCCACATGATGTCAGCTGATGAGCAGTCCCCTGGGGCCCATTGAGGCCAACGCACGCAAAACGGTTCCTTGACACCTTGAAGGGGATGGCTGGGCCTCTCTCTCCACGTGGTCTCAGGATGTCTCGGGGCCTCTGTTCCCCTTCGTCCCATCTCCAGCGAGGGAGGTGGACTCCTTACAGGGCTGCCTGGGGCTACCAGAAGTGCCAGGGCAGCCTTCTGGAGGCATAGGTTAGGAGTGGACAGTGTCACTTCTGTTATGTTCTCCTGGTTCGAGCGAGTCACAGAAGTCAGCTGAGGTTCATTAAGAGTGGGTTTGCATAGGGCATGGATACTGGGGGACCACGGGGGCCTGGCGGGCTTTAGGGTCAAGCAGCACAACATGGCACTTGGTGCTTCCATTTGCAGCAGTAATTGTTACCCTGATGTAGTTGTCTCTGAACATATAGACGAGGGACGAAGCATCCTCCCTCTGAGAGGAGTCCTCCTACGTCTCAGAATTGGCCCTGAGCTGAGGTCAAAGAATGTGTAGGTTTTCAGTGTGTGAAAGACCGTGAAGACTCTTACTGGAGTTCTGTCCTATGTAGGGGAATAGCTTGGCCGATTTTTATGCGCTAGAAAGTTCCTTTTGGTAGTAGTGTGGAAGATGGACTGTAGGAGGGGAGAAGAGGTAGGAGGCTGTTAGAATAGTCCAGCTAAGAGAAGGCAATGTGTGGGGGACATATGACAGTGGTCATGGGAGAGGGACATATAAAGGGTAGAAGGGTAGGACGCAGCTGCTCACGAGAGAGGAGAGGCTTGAGGATGACTGAGGTTTGTGGCTTGGGTGGTTTGTTATTGTACAGTTAGCCTACTTGATGGAATTCTCATCATTTGTGAAAGAAACACTTTATTTGTACAGCTTTGTTCTGAGAACGTGCCTGATTTGTTAGCATTGGACCTGAACATCATCTTAGTCTTGTTGGAAGTCTGGATCTTAGATAAATGAGGAAACTAGAAACTAGAAAAATTAAACGATTGGTCAGTCTAGGTGTCTGCAGTTAGCCCCTCTGCCACAGTTACGGACTCTTGTCACTCGGCGTCTTTTGATTGGAGCATTTAGATTCTCCCAAGAATTTGGAAAATCCTCTACAGCAATACTACCCTGAACACCCCGTCTTAGCCGATCTGACACTGAGCAGAGTCAGGCCTGGTTGGTATTTGCTGGAGTCCTCCTGGGAGTACTGGGTGCTGTCGGCTTAAGAGACTGGAGATCTCCAGAGCACTCAGCTGCCTTTGTTCTGGGGCGGGAGCTGACAGGCATCATGAACAAGCCTAGAACCTTTCATAGCAATTCAACACAGTAATTTTATGCGATTTCCAATAGATTTATTTTTGCTTTTATTGTGTTTTCTACAACGTGTGGGTCTGTGATTGATTGGGAGGGGGACCTATTGGGCCTTGCCCACCAGTAGTTTGACAGCTGCCGACTCGGAGCACGCGTGTAAGAAATGAAGTCATCTGAACAAGCGCGGTCTGATTGCAGCCCAGGTGCTGGTTTATGGGGAAAAAGACAGGCCGTGTGGTCGTGTGCACTTACCACCTGATTTACTCCTAGGTCTTGCTGGGCCTGCGTGATACCAGTGATTCCATTGTGGCAATTACTCTTCATAGCCTAGCAGTGCTGGTGTCCTTACTTGGACCAGAGGTGGTTGTGGGAGGTGAAAGAACCAAGATCTTCAAACGCACAGCCCCAAGTTTTACTAAAATGGTGGACCTTTCCCCAGAAGGTAAGAATGATTAAATGGGCTTTTTATTTTAAATATTGTTGTTTTAATGAAATTTTTAACATTATACAAGTAAGGCAGGTGGGTTGTCTTCAGTCAGAGGATAGAAACAACTGTAAAGAAAGCATAATTTCCCTCTCCCGGTTCCTTCTGGGTGTATAAGGTAATCAATTTTAATAGTTTAGTGGGAATCTTTTCTTCCTTTTCTTAGGCCCATAAAGATACACAGGTATCTGTGTATACACACACACACCCACGTATCAGATTTTTTAACAAAACAATGAGAAAATACTGTGCCCAATTCTACAACTTAATTTTTTCGTGTAGTGCCTTTTCGGGGACTCATCTCCAGGTCAGTATGTAGAAATGTCACTTTTTTGACAGCTGCCTAATATTTCATTGAATATATTTCATTTAGTGATTTCCCTGTTGATGGATATTGCTTTCATTTCTGGATTTTTAGCCACTGCATTGCTGCAGTCGATGTCCTTGTACTTGTATCTTGATGTAGTTTGCCTTTTATTGCTAGAGGATAAGGTCCCACAAGTAGACTTACTGGGTCAAAGAATATATTTAAAATTTTCTGGATACTCTCTGTCAGTTTCTAAAGGTTGTAGCAGCTCTTAACAACACTAGATGTTTAAGTCCTTTTGATTTTGATGGCCTCTTAGGTAAGTAGCTGTTGACTTTTAAGAACTTCAAGAAATACTTATTTCTGGCATATTCCAATTGGATATTACATGGCACGTAGCAATAATTGCTGGTCTTTATAGGTTGTAAAAAGTCAAGAATAAAAATTTTGTATCAACGGCATTGCTTCTTTGCTCCTTGATACAACCCTGAATAGGATGGTGACCTTGTTAGGAAACACGGATCTCCGATTCAGTTCTCACGGATGGTGAATTAGCACAGAAACCGTTACAGTAGAAAAGAACTATCAGATAGACTTTTCTCTAATTCTCATGCCAGGAGAATTTTTTATTTTATTTTATTTTATTTTATTTTATTTTATTTTATTTTATTTTATTTATTTTTTAATTTTTTTATTATTTTTTTAATTTTTTTAATTTTTTTTATTATTTTTTTAATTTTTTAATTCAAATCCAAGTTAGTTAACATATGGTATAATGATAATTTCAGGAAGAGAATTTAGTGATTCATCACTTACATAGAACACCCAGTGCTCATCCCAACAAGTGCCATCCTTCATGCCCATCACCCATTTAGCCCCTCCCCCCACCCAACACCCTGGCAGCAACCCTGTTTGTTCTCTGTATTGAAGAGTCTCTAATGGTTTGTCTCCCTTTCTGTTTTTATCTTATTTTTCCTTCCCTTCCCTATGTTCATCTGTTTTATTTCTTAAATTCCACGAGTGGAATCATAGGATATTTGCCTTTCTCTGACTTATTTCACTTAGCATACTTTAGTTCCAAAAAGATTTCATTCTTTTGATCGCTGAGTAATATTCCGTTGTATATATTTACTACACCTTCTTTATCCATTCATCAGTCGATAGACATTTAAGACTCTTCCCGTACTTTGGCCATTGTCGATAGCGCTGCTGTAAACATGGAGGTGCATGTGCCCCTTTGAGTCAGCATTTTTGTGTCTTTTGGATAAATAACCTAGTAGTGCAGGTGCTGGATTGTAGGGTGGTTCTATTTTCAGCTTTTTGAGGCACCTCCACACTGTTTTCCAGAGCACTGCACCAGTTTGCATTCCCACTAGTGGTGCAAGAGGGCTTCCCCTTTCTCCGCATCCTCGCCAACATCTGTTGTTTCCGGAGTTGTTCATTTTAGCCATTCTGACAGGGGGGAGGTGGTGTCTCCTTGTGGTTCCAGGAGGGTTTTTAAAGCAACGCTGGCTTCCTCAGGTTTTGATAGGTCCAACTCTTCTTGGTGCTGATGAAATCATTGTCAGTCAGGAACTCGAAGAGGGTGACGAAGCTGCTCCCTCACTGACTAGGATATGTTTGGAGCACGTTGAGTGAATGGAGTCTGTGTGGTACCAGGTAGTTTTGTTTTGTTTTTTGTTTTCAAGCAGAGTACACCAAACAGCAAATGAGAGATTTATTTTATTTCATACCAGAGGAATCTGTAGGGGAGGAAGGGTTTTGGGATGCAGTTTTGGGATAAGGCTGGGGGCATCAGTCTCTGAGGGCAGCTTTGTTGCATGTTGAGTCCCCACTCCAATCTGTTTTATTTATTGGATGCAGTTTCCTAATTGTGGACTTTCTATAAACTGTTGACCTATAATCTTAGTAAGAAACCAAAAAGGCACCAAAGTAGAACAGATGAATTTTTTTTTTTTAATTTTTTTTTAACATTTTACTTATTTTTGAGACAGGGAGAGACAGAGCATGAACAGGGGAGGGTCAGAGAGAGGGAGACACAGAATCCGAACCAGGCTCCAGGCTCTGAGCTGTCAGCACAGAGCCCGACACGGGGCTAGAACTCACAGACCGTGAGATCATGACCTGAGCCGAAGTCGGCCACTTAACTGACTGAGCCACCCAGGTGCCCCGGGATGAATTTTTATTAAAATAGATTTTTCTAAAGACTTTCAGTGACTTAGCTAAGCTCTTCATCCATGATGGCTGCCGAGCCCTGGTGACTGCCTGCATTTCATTTTTTGACGCATTTCAAGTTTACAGTTAAGAGTGGACCTTCTTCTGAACAACATGGGGGAATGCTGGGGAGGAGCATGTCCATAGGAGGGTACCCTTGGACTTTTTTTTTTCCCTCCTTCTCCCTTGCAGTTTACCTATATGGTCAGACTTAAGAATATGGGATAATAGATTTATGAAAAGGGAAGAGAATTGGAGAAGGGAACATTGGTAAGAGACACTGGTAGGCCCTCGCGGGGAGGATGGTAAGCAGAAGCAAGCAAGAAGGTGCTGGGCTTGTAGAGGTCAGACCCTGCAGGGCCCGGCAGGCCTCACTGTGATGACTTACCCCAGGCCCTTCCAGGAAGAGGAGGTACTAAGCCAAAAATTTTGCTGGAAACTTTTTGACCAATGTCCACTGTGGAGTATGAACTTTTAGGTAAACTGTTAAAGACAGCATTTTCTGGAAACAACTTTTTTCCCCAATTGGAAGTTAAATGTCTATAGCATAAAATTTACCAATTTTAACTGTCTAGTTTTGTAGCGTTAAGTACATTCACGCTGGCGTTCTTGTACTCTCGGACTTTTATTCTTAGTAGAATCAATTATGGTTTTAAATCACCAAAGTGTTCAAGAGCCGTTAACTCTTATAAGCAGGTATCCTAAAGGTTCTGTCTAATCCAGCTTCTCAGCTAGCTCTTGAATCCTTTCGAGTCCCTTACCGCCACTTAGACACTCAGCCCGTCCGTAAACACCCGGAGGACAGGCGTCCATTCCGTAACAGGTGTTTCTTCAGATATTTGAAGATGCTCTCTTCCTGCAACTTCTCTTTTGTCTGTGTTAAATACACCCATTTCTCTTAACTGTTGCCCACCTACCCTGTTAGAACAAGAAGCAATTTCTTAGCCCTTTTACTTTGGGGAGTTTTTATGTATCTTTATACTGTCCCATGTACGTCGTCATCTGTAGCCAGCAGGCTCAGATGCGCCAATCTTGGAGAACCCCTCCTCTGGGGTTTTTCTGGCAGCACGCCCAGCAGCAAGAAGCATGTGCAGAGCGATTGTTCCAATACTCTTACACAGACAGGGAGAAATACTCCATTTATGTAGCTTTTCCACTGTTTGGATGAATGTTTTCCTGAGTATTAAGTTTTAAATTCTGAAAATTAAGGGCACCTTGGGAATACTGAGGCTGATTCCTCGTATCACTTCGGACTTTGTAGTCAGCTGGGGTCTCATCTGCTTTTCCTGGACTACAGGGTACCTACCGACCGTTTCTTCGTGACTGGTGAGGAGAGCTGGTGACGGGTCTTCGGTGCAGCATTCTCCAAATTGGGTCCGAGGAGGACAGTTTTGTTAGATGGCAGTAGGTTTTCTGTGAGAGACAGAGTGGCGTGGTTACGTTTGGGAAAGCGTTAGGAGTAGCGTCCGGCCGCGTTGCACCAGACTCCACGGCTTTGCCCACGTTTGAGAAATCTCTTTAAAATGAGGGTATGTCCGGTTGAGCACATGACACTTTTTGGGGGTGACACTGCCTGGCTTAGAACCTTTCTCTGTTTATAGACAGTTAGCCAACAAACGTTGAACATCTGGGAAAGGATCGGACGCTCCGCCTGCTGCTTGGTGTGCTTCCCTCAGAGTTCAGGTTAAGCATTTGAGTAACTCAGTTCTGTTACGTTCTGTGGGGATTCTTTTGTAGCTACAGTTTAGTAGCCTGGATATTTCTATGAAATGAGAGCCAGACCTTGTGTGCGTGTTAACCTTTTCCTAAATATATGGCTTGCTCTTAACATTTTATGAGGGTAACTTTTGTACTTACCCCCACAGGTGATCAATATTCTCAGCCTATCAAATTCCCCATGAACGGACTCTCCGATGTGAAAAGTACCTCAGGAGACCGTGAAAACTTCCCATCAAGTTCTAAGAAGTCTGAGGAGTGGCCCGACTGGAGCGAGCCGGAGGAGCCTGAAAACAAAGCTGTCAGCATACAGATTGGTCCCGCGGAACCCCGCGATGCCTCCACATCCCCGCTCCCTAACTTGAACACGGAGGAGGCGTCATGGGATGACTTTGAGCCCAGCAGCTTAGACAGTGAAACAAACGCAGGAGGAGGAGTCCCCGTTGTGAGACCTGGGGCCGCAGGGGGACCTGAGCCCATTCCTGCCTTGTTTTCACTCACTGAAGAGCCCAAGCCTTCGAAACCCGGCCTGTGCCAGAAGGCCGGTCTTGCGCCAAGCAGGGATGACCCGGGCCACACCGAGCCCCCAAAAGTGTCACCAGAAGGACGCCTTAAGGTTCCATCTGAACTGGGTTTAGGAGAGGAGTTCACCATTCAAGTGAAAAAGAAGCCAGTACGAGATCCCGAGTTGGACTGGTTTGCGGATATGATCCCAGAAATTAAGCCTTCGGCTGCTATTCTCATTTTGCCTGAACTGAGGACAGAAATGATGGTTTCCGGCAAGGATGACGTCCCACCAGTGATGCAGTTTTCCTCGAAATTCGCTGCAGCAGACCTTACCGAGGTGAGGATCGGTAAATCGCGTCGCTAGCGTCAGGGTGTCCTCGTCCGTGCCGGTTGCCCGGTCTCGTTTGTCACGCCTGCCGTTTTCCCAGGGAGGGAAGCGACTGACGCGCTCAGCTGCTTAAAATGAGGATACGGGCAGTTCCTGTACCCGAGGGCTTTCCTTCCCTAGAAGGATGTAGCGTGCTCAGCAAAGTGTTTAACTGGCCACTGGTTATGACCAGGATAATCTCTTTATGGGCAGAGGGATTAAGCCAAGAATAGGGTGTCTTCAGATTGATTTTGGATTGATACGGACCTCGGGAGGTTATCTTACAAAGCTGCGGCTTTATGATTCTGGAACCAAAGCGATCCTCCCCTCAGCTTCCTGTTCACAGGGAGGGAGGGAGTGTACTGAGCACGAGGAAGTCTGTTCTGGCGTCGAAAGGCAAGCGTTAGGCTCCTTTCGATTCGGAAATGACTGGTTTCAGCAGGCTGCCCTTGGTTTGCTTTATCTTGCTGCAGGGAGAGTCCGAAGGCTGGGGAGACGAAGGGGAGCTGAACTGGGAAGATCACAACTGGTGACAACGGGCGGAACTTTAAGGCAAAGGGTTTCTTTAAAAAATCCAACTAATACCTCAAAAGCGGGCTCTGCAGACCGGAAAACCCAGAAGCACCGTTTTCCCCACCTGTGCCAACTGAAGCGTGAGCTCCCGAGTGGCGGTCGGCGCCCCGGCACCGGTCCTGTGGAGGGGCCTGAGCGCGTCTGCCTGAGGCCAGTTTCTGTGAAGGGCAAGCAGCCGTGGAAAGGTTGAATTTACTGCTTGTTTTCCAGGACAATTCCAGAGGTAAAGAAAATAAATACAAAAATTCAAGCTGATTAGCTTAATTCTGTGCCATTTCTTTAACAGAAGAGTAAGCTTTACTACGAGATACAACTTACTGAAAAAGTTTTAGCTATAAAGTATATAAATGATTTTAGATTGCTGAGGTTTCCTTAGGCAGCTTATTTATTTGTTTACAGATGTACGAGTGAGGGGCCCTGTGGGGACCTGGGCAGTTCCTGACTGTTCCACATGTATCACGTTGTACCAAAGCTCTTCATGAGAAACCTCCCCCCTTGACCTGTTCTCTAAATAAATGTCCAATAAAGACTATTTTCGCTAGATTCAACTTTACAAAAGTTGTTTTATATGTGCTAGAAAACGCATAGTTCCATCAGTGCATTCATTTACAAAACACAGAGCAGGCTGACAAAGATGACTGGGGGGGGGGGGGGGG